TTGAATTAGTTTCGATTCAAAACGGGACTATTATACGATATTATACAACACGAAATACATTATTTTTTGTTTTTTTTCGTTTCCTGTTGGTTTTTGTTCAAATGATATCAACGTTCAGTCGATGCTATGTAGAACTACAATACTATAAGGTAGAGAGAGAGGCAGAGAAAAAAAACACTGATAATATTCAACTGATCATTAAAACTCCGCTTGTTTATTAACAACGTTGAATTTAAACTTTTTTATCCGACAACGAACGTATAAAACATTTTTTCCCCTCTCGAATTCTCATTTAACTTTAAACGAGCTTATTATTCGGGTTTACCTTTTTTTCCGATTCGATTAATTGTCTGGTGTTGTCCATGATCTGAATGTTAATGAAGTAATCTTAGCATTTGTTCCGTTATGCCATCATTAATCAAAACATAGTCCCGCAATCCCGCGACCCCAAACCGTTAGAAACAATAGTTACGGAAACCCTAGGTGTGTCACGCATGGTCCCGTGCACTGTTGCCGAATGAGGAGAACGTTTTTGTAAAACGGTTTCGCGCAACCTTAATTTTAACACCGAAATGTACGTATACTCAACTTCGTTGTAACTTACATTATGCACCTACTCCGAACCACTATATACCAGATTTTTTTCCTCTAAATAACTGTGATTTTAAAATTCTCTCAAAACTTATTTTTAATTCTATTGATTCCCTTTATTGTATGCTTGCCAAAGTAATAGCTTCATAGTTCTTACGCCAACTAGAAATACGATCCCTTTTCGTGTTCCTATATCTCCCACTAACTAGTGTTACTGTTTCGTTTCAGTTTCTAAACGTGTCAATATTTTATTTCACAGTCTAAACTATATTTCACGTGAAAAATAAAACAACAATTCTGTTTTCCTGTATCGGGGGGCTTCGTTTGTATTTTCAATTCATAAACAAATAAGTTCTTGAAAATCTGGTGACCAACACGAGATTTCAATAGACCTCTAAGAATTCATCGTGTTTTAGACAAACTTCTGACGCACTATTAGCTACAATCAAATAGTATGATTTTCGTGACGGGACTAAAAAGGATTTCCGTCCGACCCGGGTTTTCGTATTAGTCCGTCATGCACAAGACTTGTACCGTGAACAATAACGCGTGTATGGTAATGGAAATGAATAAAAATCCGCCTAAACACGTAATAACGAATAATCCTGCTGTGCGTTCGTGAACAGTCGTTAAAACATTATCCTAGTGTGCGTTCTACATGCAGTACGGTATAGTCTGCGTAATCATATTATTATAGTAATGTACGAACGCGGCATTACGATTTCAAATGATAGTATCATCCACCCTTGGCGTTCTTAATCCGTCCGATTGTTATTTACTTTTATTGCACAGACTGCATATTTATGTATGTATGTATATATGTATTATTATTATCATTATTATTATTATTATCATTATTATTATTATTA